GGGTGGGGGGTCTGGTGGGGGTGGGGGTGGGGGCGTGGGTCTGGGGGGTGGGTGTGGGTGGGGGTGTGGGTGTGGGTGAGGGTGTGGTGTCGGTGTGGTGTGGGTCTGGGTATGGGTCTGCAGTGTGAGTGTGAATGCACTTCTGGATCTATCATATAATATGTGCACACACACATCCACACCCGCGCCCACTCCTTGGGACAATCTTTGACGTTTCAGCTTCAGATCCTAAATAGATATGATCAGGATCCGGCAAGGATTCGCCGTTTTTTTCTGAGGAACCGACAAATCCTGAAAGAAGTTTTTCGGCATTATTTTCAAGCATGCTGTCAAAATTGAAAACAAGATTATCAAGAATCCTAACAAGTTTATCATTGCTTTTTCGAACAGGGTTCAGCCAGAAAATCAATGATTCATGAAATAAGTGTGTCGACTTGGTTTTCAAAGATTCTCACAGGATTTAAAACAAGACTATCAAGGATCTTGACAAGTTTATCACTGTTTTTCAAACCAGAAGTGAGCCAAGTAATGAATGATTCCTGAAAGAAGTGTGTAGCTACGGAATTGCAGGATCCTGTCAGGATTTCTATAATTGAAAAACCAAAATTCTGATCACAACTTTCAGGATCTGACTAGGTTTCGTAAAAGATGTTATCAAATTTCTTCACAGGATCTTTGTAGGATAGGACCAAGTTTCTCTGAGCATGTCATCAGTTTCTTAGCAAGATCTTTGCAGGATTTGGGTGTGGGTGTGGGTGTGAGTGTTGATGAAGACAAGACTAACATCCACATTTAACCACACCCACACCCACACCCTCAATCAACTCCATTTTCGACGAGCTTTCGTTTGTTATAAAATTAATTATATCTTCTATTGGAAATCTTAGCGGTACCTCCTGGAATAATATTATTTCCAATCCTGTAGATGTGTTTCTCACGAAAAACTTGTTGTTTATCTTTATAATGTTTACATCGATTGCTCACCTTGTTTTACTATCTCAAGGACAACTGCATGGCGAAAGGGAAAAAGATACTTTTCTCTTTCAACGTGCGTTCTTGCACAATCTATTGACATATTAAACATCGTTCTCCTCTTCCGAAATAATACTTGCACAACCTTATGACATATTAAATGCTTTCTCCCATCTTCCGAAGTAGCACTTGCACAAGCAAAAGACATATATTGGTGTTAAATCACAAGCATTACTCATGACAAGCAATAATGATCCCGAAGTTTTAGCCTTTGATGCAAGTAACTCGTGTCCAATCAAAGTTGTGTTTGATACATTTACTCCTCGGCCACATTTTATTCTGATTCAAAAAGATAAACAGCGTGAAGCTACGTCGGTTGAAATTCAAGCTGGATTGCAACTTATCTCTCAGTTTCTGACAGCAAGTAAGGAATATGATGGCAATGCAATTCTGTCGTTTCACCGTGGCTCATGGTATCAACAGAAAACCAATCATTTTCATGCACATCTCTGTGTACCATTAGAACCATACCAAAGAGCCGCTTCTAAAAGTGTAAGTTTTTCAGAAAACGTTACCAATCACATGTAATAAGATGAAACTCTAATGCTCCTATTCCAATGTAAGGCTATTCTTACTTGAGTCAATGTACTTATTCGAAGTACATTTTTTTCCTAATATTCATGATGAATGTTTTTTGTGACAAGTAAACAAAAACTATTCTACTGATAGTTTCCAGTTAAAAATGCGAGTCTGTGGTAGAATTCATCATTGTACAACATTGTGATGTTGTCGTCGACATGAGAAAAGTCATTGAGCTTGATCAAACCATTTAATTTAGATGATTTTCTTTTAAGACGACAATAACAACTTCTATGCAATAGACAATTTAATTCACAGACGAATAAAGCCACACCATCCCGTAAGACTTCAACGCATCTATCAAAGTCTTTAAAAAATATGGATTAATCTGATTGTTTGTGAATAGGTCGAAAAATCAGTCACCTATTGAAGAAACAGCATATAGAATTGAATGGATTGGGTGTACCTGTAAAAAAGTTTTGAGTATTGCCAATATATTACATAGTAACTGCACTGTTGATAGAAAAAGTTATGATTTTTCCTATAATTTATCTAAATATATCCCTTCCCATTTTTTGTCATTATGAATAGCTTCTGTTCAATCAAGTAACAACGCGTAAATTATACGAGATCAAATATCTATTATATACGGCTAGATATTTAATATTTACCTTGTTTAAGAAGGGATACCAGGATTTTTTCATGCCATCTAAACCATTCTTCTGATGCTAACCCATCAATAAATGTGACAGTTTTCCGGATGCAGAAACACTTGATCTATTATGCCTGTCTACTAGAAGAAGTGGTAATGTATTAATTCAGATATTGACACTTAAGCAGACAGAAAATGAATCTCATAATCATTAGTGCTTCAGCGTAGCAACAATTTTGAAGAAGAATATGTGCTAGAATGTCCTAAGTTTGAATTAAAGTAATAACTGAAAACTCTCTTTTAACAGCAGAAACTTTTGTGCTAATACTATATATAAATCAGTGAGAGTGTGGGTCAAAATAGAAGTATGAGTGATCTTCGATCCAAACGTACTTCTCAATTTTTTAAATTACCACTGTTATTTGATTTTCAACAGATTACGTTCCGACTAAACAATAGGGAGTGGTGTGACGCTGCAACCTATACGGACGCGATGGTTGCGAGAGACAAACGTCAAGCAAATAAAGATAATCAATACAAGCAAGATTGTCTTAAGCTGGCTCGTGACCCTACATTTGTGTCTCGTGTCGATGATGTTCAACTAAGCAATATAAGCCGATTTTCCACAGAATTTCAACTGGTCTGGTGTAGTCCACAACCTCAAATTGGTGTCATTGCTCAATCAGCTGACAGCTCTCTTGACTCGTTGTATGAATTCATGACTCAATGCCATAAAGAAGCAATAAAACAATTGACTCCACTGGACAGGGGATACGCCAATTTTGGATGTCATTTCTGTTTATTCGTACAGGGTAATGCACAAGGCAAATGCACTAGACGCCAATCACGAGTTTTAAATGGAAACGGAGCGACATCTGCATCCAATGAGTCTCTAGTTGGCTATATTCATTTGGATCCGACAGACTATATGAAATGGCTGCCACCACAAATTCGATCTCAGTGGGTCGCTGAGTTTGAACAAATCGATTTTAAAGTGCTTACATAAACAATAACTTTTTCTTGACAATAAATCTTATAACCTAGAATCATATATTTAATAAATCGACTTGAAAGCTCATGATAAGTCTAGTAAGAAGAGCATGGGTGTGGGTTGAGTGTGAATAGGTCATAAATTCGAGTCAATTTTGAAATTGATAAAGAGTTTTTTTGAAACCAATATTGATGCCAGTCTAAATAAATGAGAGCGGACCGAACCGACTCATCAATTGGTATGATTCATCGTTGACTTTTCTCATACTATAGGGATCGTAGCTTATACTGAAACATTACACTAGTTACTTCAGACTACTGCTTCATTTTTTTAGGAGCATTTCTTGGAAATGGTTTTCGATACACATCGATTGATGCAACAGGAAAGTAAAATCTATTTATCTAATTGGCTCCAAGAATTGTATAAAAATGTACCTCTCCACGCCCTTTAAACCTGTAGACAGAGATTTCGATGTCCAAAAAGAACTATGAAATAGATGACGGTGTGGGTGTAGTTAAAGAGCAGACGCATGTCTACATCCATATCCGACCTCGAAGGAATTTATTATAATTTTTGGCAAGATATTTTCCCTTTTGGTCGATGGACGCAAGAAAAGAATAGGAAGGCATAAAATATAGGGTGTGAGTGTGGGTGGGTTTAGGTGTTGATCTGCTCTTTACGCACATCCACGCTGGCCCACACCCACACCCACCTACCCACACACCCATACCCCACACCCTGAAGAGAAAAATTTCGTGGAAACCGACATGATGATAAATAAATTTTTTTTACAGCACCGTGTAAATAGCATTCTAGCTTTACTTATGAGTGTCCCACTAAGCCACCATATCCGTAGCTTCTTAGAAGAGATACTTTTTAAATAAACATTCAGCAAGTTAAATCGTTGAATTTATTATGATACCCATGTTCTCTGCATTGAAAGATATTAGCATGAAAATATTCTGTGAATCTATTATGTAGAAAACGTTTCAATTGTTAAGCGACAAAGTTAAGAATACTATCGTCTTAAATTGCAGTTGTCATCTTGATTTCGATTGAGACCATTTCTAGTCTTCGTTTTTTACTTTCAATATAGACGTTTGTCCTAATCCTCTTTGATAAATTAAAATCAAATCATTCTTCTCATTATTTTTCTTGTTCTACTGATGCATCCAACTTTGCACAATCAGACATATACATATTTGTGACCTTCATTTGTTGCTTATTCATTATTCTTGAATATTGCACTATCGCCGACAGAATTCTTCTACTCTGCCCTTGATGCATATGAAGGAATATTGTCTAATCAACCATCATATTTACTCAGCCCACAAACATCAATACTTACCTCTCTGTAACTAACTTTTTTATCGATGTCTTTTTTAAACTAACAGACAAAATCAAAACTAGGTTGCTAGTCATATGAACCTAAAAATTGCGAAAGGATCTTGACACTAGGTAATGAAATCAGCGTTACAAATATCTCAAAGAAGTCGCGAAATACTTAGTTTTGAGTTTGTATATTGAGACCACCCTGATTCATTTTAATCAGACGAAGAATAAAACAATGAATAGATTACTTACAATGATTTTTGAATACATAGTACAACTTACAAAAAGTTAAACAGAGTTACTTTCCAAGGCATATTTTTTATTAGAATAAGAAAATTGATAAAGTAATGAAAAATTAAATCTACATAATTTAGAATATAATAGTGTGCTAATTGATGATGAATATTCATTTATATTGTTAATTGTTTGTGGCAACATTCGATTTTCAGTGTCGAGTTTTGTTTGTGCCATATTTCCTTCGAAAAAAGAAAGAATACTAAGTGAAGTCAAAATCATACAAAACTGAAAATGATAAATTTAAAAATGAAAATACGAATGATGAAAGTTTATTTCATAACATACTCGGTTTATTTACCAATATTCTATTCAAATATTCTTTTCATTTCAAGAATATGCTAATTCGCATACAATGATAATCGAAGATTACTGATCGATGGAACAATACATAACAAAACTCTATTTAAATTGATTGCTCAATGAAAATCAAAGATTTCGACTTGGCTATCTGCTTTAGAAACGTTTGACAACTGAACAATTATTATGAAGATTCTATTCAGATATTTTGACATTTGTAAAAATAAAAACAATTACAATTAATCAATTAATCGACGAATAGTGATAAATACATAATTCCTACTAAGATTTTATTTGAATATTTTATCTATTTGAAATTATGTTTTCTAATAAAATATATAATCGAAGAACATATAACAAATGAAATATTATTATAAAGATTTGATTTATCTATTGTGTCTCATTTCACATAAAAATTCAGAATCAATAGCACGATCAACGAACATATCACAAATCAATAAGTCATATAAAAATTCTCTTCATGTATAGTGTGTCATACACAATAAACGTTTATAATTGAAAATATACTTAAAAATCACATAACAGAAGAATAATTTATATAAAAACTGTATTTAAATATATTGACAAGTTCAAATTAAATATAAATAATTGATTGTGGAATTGGAGAACATAGAACAGATGAAATATTCCGATCAGAAATCTATTCATATATTTGTAGTCTATATGAAGCAAGGACTTAAAATCGATTGTAGCATCGAAAAAAAAATACGATAAGTGAATAAATCTTATCACCCAAGCGGTCAACCGATAGGGATTTCGAGGTATCGATTTTAAACTTTCGCACCCATCGAATTTGAAAACGTACTGCTCGGATTCTCACTTTCCGATGGGTCGAGGGCTCGCCGATAGGTCAATAACGCCAGACTTTTCGAGCCATCGGATATTTGTATTCGAGGGGATCGAAAAAAAAATAGTTTTTGATATAGATGNATTCAGCCTACAAAAAAAAATTGAATTGTAACAATATGTAAAGCATTAATGTGGCGGCAATTGAAATTTCAAGTAAAATTTTCTTTTCGTAATTTTTTACGCCATTTGATAGAATGTGAGCTCCTGATCACGAAAAACTACTTTTTAGCCGTAGCAAGTATTTCCTTCTGGTCAAAAAATACGAAAAACTTGAGAGGTGTCGTTTTTTGAAAAAACCATCTCCTTTGCAAAAATGTGTAAAATTTTCTACTGTGTTGTTTTTTCGAACTTCTGAAAATAATTTTTCAGATTGAGCATGAAAAACTAAATAGAAAGAAATCGTTAAGCCGGCTCAACATCTCGACTGTTTCGTATTTTTTGACCAGAAGGAAATACTTGCTACGGCTAAAAAGTAGTTTTTCGTGATCAGGAGCTCACATTCTATCAAATGACGTAAAAAATTACGAAAAGAAAATTTTACTTGAAATTTCAATTGCCGCCACATTAATGCTTTACATATTGTTACAATTCAATTTTTTTTTGTAGGCTGAATTTACTATACCGTATCCAGGGATAAAATATATTTTCATATTACACTGGATTTTACTCCGTAGCACATTATGTCTTATAATACATATTTTTATTATATTTATTGTGATACGGCAATATCGAAAAATAATATATTATGATGAATTTCTAATTAGTGTTATCCATAATAGGGAAATTCTACTACTAGGTTCCAATCTCTTCACTTCTAACATTAACTTATATTATTCATAATTTTGTTTCGTAACCTGTATCTATAGATTTATCATTAACTCCTAGTATTATTCAAAATGATGTGTTAACTTATAAAATCTATGTTTCTTAATATTAAATTAGATCATTCAGAATTATTATGAATTGAAATGAAAACATCTTTATTTTCATTATTATACTTTATAACACCTACATTATTTACAATTCGGATTAATTTTGTTTTGTCTTGGCTTTTATCATTAATTTGTCTATTCATAACTTGAATTATGTTTATAACATCTACATTCTTATTATCAGTTTATACGCTTCGTTATTTTATGCTTACATAGTTTTTTTTGTATTTTTAAAATTATCATCAATTTTGTTCATTTGAATATGTCATTATTCATTAATTTATAATACTCATAACTCTATGATGATTTGTAGAATCTGTACTAAAATTCATATGGCATAGATGATGTCTGTGCTTCTAGCTGTTTGTTATGTATTTGATATAAAATATCTACGACAGAGGATCTCAATCCTCGAAATATTTGACTATTTTGAAGTTCCCGGAAGTGATACTAACATGAAGATGAAAGATTTGCTGCTAAAAAAAACAAAGTCTTGCCTCTCAACATGACATTGCCAAATATAAAAAAAAAACTGTTGGTATAGAGAATTAGTTTTGCTGTTTTTATAGATAGATCGTATTAAAAATAAAGATTATTTTAATATTATTTGATAGTTGTAAATATAAGAACTTTACTGATCTAATACTGTTGGATTGAAATTTTAAACAAAGGAGAGGAATTAACGAACAAACTGAGCTATTTGATTATCGCAGGAATGTATGTCTATCATCGAATTCGAACCTTAACTAAATAATATGTCACGCTATGCATCGCAAGTCACCACATATCTGACGCATTTTAACTTAATCTGCGTCTAAGATTGTAGCAACCGTGATTAATATTTCATCAAAGATTGCATGTTGTTAGTTTCTTTTTCTAGTTTGTAAAAAAACCTAGATCAAAGTTATGTCACAGAAATATGTTCTGAATTGAAAGAAATATAACAACATTAATCGAATAGCACTCTACGTTTAAATACGTCGGATGTATTATGATTTACAACACATTCCACGACACGTTCCAGCACGACACGAGGTGCTCGTTGCGACACATCATCGCACGACACATCTGACACATGCTTAAATCACTGTTCGATTCTAGGTTTCACCCTATCTATGATTTTTTTTTCTTTCGGACAATTAAGATCAGTGTCTGATGCAACAGTATAAACCAGGCAGATCTCGAAACATATTCGTGTAAGGTTAGTGAGGTCTTAGCCGGACTATTGCCAGGTAGACCTCTCTTTAGGTGAGGTCACTATTTCTCGAAATTTTTACAAGAAATATATAGTCGAGAAATATATTGTATAGAATGATGTACGAAAGTTACAATTTTCATGTAATGGTTCAGATCAATTATATATAGATAAACGCATGAAATAAAATCGGTGAATGAACAGTCTTCATATACGTACAGAACGGTTAAAACTATGACACATTAAAGTGCGACAAATTTTCTTGCTGGAATCCAGGACACTTTAATTTAAGACGGAAAAAGTTCACACATTTTAGCTTAGAGTGTGCTTATAGTAGCTACATTGTTAATCACATTATAATTGATGATAGATTACAATAACAACTGTTTTTGTGGAACTCACGTATATTTTCGAAGAAAATAGTGAGTGTAAGTTTTAAATTGAGGTTTCGTGGCTCCTCCCTTCCCCCCCCCCCTAGGCCTCCTCCATTACAGACACTTAGCAACGGAGAAAGAGAACATTACAGACATACCTCCCCCCCCCTCATTACAGACCCTAGCAACCGGAGTCAAAGGTCAATGATTATTGGGTGCATACCCTAGCAACGGAGGACAATAGGAACTAGCTGCTTTCTTATGGCTGATTAGCAACTATATGACGCGAAACCATACATTATTGGACATGTTTCCATAGCAGCGAGCTCTGCCATGACAGACCGTTACAAAAAATTAATTAGTTAGTAAAACAGTGAATTAATAATTAATAATTTTTTAGCATTTATTAATATTTATTGATATTTTTGCGGAACTCACATATATTTTTTTACGAAATCGATCAAGTTATAATTTTGAAAGATAATCAACATTATTATTTGTGAGTTGATTAATATATATCACAGTGCATGAGATCTGCTGTAGACATAATCGATTTGTAAAACAGACTGGTTTGCCAATTAATTCAATGGATATAATAAAAAAATATATAAAGTTAAGACAAAAAAAGTGTGAAAAATGAAAAATACTGAACGAATAGCAACAACGAAAACGAAAACTAAGGGCACCTGTCAAAAAATTAAAAAATTTAGAAAGTCTTGATTTTATACTTTCTGTATTTCATATGAGTATAATGAAGTTGAAGAACATACGTGAGTTCCACATTTCAGCCCCAAAGGAGCTGCGCTGACAAGCTTTTTTACTAATATATTCGAGATTCCAGATCGTCATTTGACAAAATTTTTTCAGTATAATAAAATGTATAATAAAATTATCTATCGATCGTATATTTGTAAGAATTACTATAGAAAAAGACTATAAATCCATTTTCTATGATTGATGTCTCACATAAAATACAGATAATACTTGTATCTTCGAGGAAAATATTTTGTGGCAAAGCATGACATATATAATATGCATAATTTAATTGAATATAAGTCTTTCGAAAACTTAATTCACCATATTTACTAAAATTTAAAACCCCTCCGGGGTGATATGTCAACTGTTAAAAAAAGCTATACTTCACTTGTTATTATCAATGACGTCTAATTGAACTTCATTCCTTATAAGAGAATAATTGCGTTTGTGACAATGATAACTATTCACAATCTACTTTTATTTTCTGAGAAAAAAATAAAACCTCATTAAAGAATATTTATTCCAAGAAAAAGATATATATATATATATATGCCTTGCTTACATACATCGAGTAAGTCAATAAGATATTAGCGTATTGCTGTTCTTTCCTTCATCAGTCTACAAACAATGAATAGTACATCAAGCAGTATTAGTCGTGATCTTCTAGCAGCACCATATCAATTGAACATATGGATTGGTTCATTTTTCTGCGTGATGGGTAATCTTGGTTGTTTTGGAAATTTAATTGTATTTAGTTCTTTTGAATTTCGCAAGCGAGCTTATACCATTTATTTTTTAATGGAAGCAGCATCCAATATTATTTACTTTGATTTTCTACTACTTACACGAGTACTTCAAAGAGGATTTCAAATTTCAATAACTACACGTTATAATTTTCTATGTAAAATTCGGCAATTTGATTCAGTCTTGAATGCTGATGTTACCCTTACTTTTTTTTCACTTGCAACGATTGATCGAATTTTATCTCTACAACGTTCAAATGGTAAGTTAAGAAAAAATACGTGAAATCTTAGAACAGCAAAAGATTGACATTTTAACTTCGCATGAAACAAATTTTAGTCCTGTATTCTAGTAGCATTTGAAGATCTTATTCAAAATAATTCTGCTCATAATTATTAAAAATCTATTTTTATTCAGTTTATAATTAGAGTTTATCGAAATTTAAAAGCTTATGAAATTGAATCAGTTTTTTAACTAAACCAAAATTGTAATACGAAGCCATTAGAAATTCCTACCCTAGAGAATATACTGAGTTAAGGGTACCCAAAAAAGTACCCTGATACCAGTATGTCACAGTAACTTTTGGGTACCAAGATATTTGTAGGCACTTACAGGCACCTAAGTTGTACTTTTGCAAGTACCTTGCTGTAAAATGCTCAGCGATTGGGTACCATAGTAAAGTATTTCTAAGTATCCTGTTACCAAATTTTCAGCATGTTTAGGATCGAATTTAGTGTTTGAATCTTTAATTTTTTTCTTTTTCTTAAGATAATTTACTAGATGCTTTTTTTACTTTATTCAATTTAACTTTTTTTTTATTCCAAAAATTTAGCAGGTACTATGACGAGATCCGACTCGACTTGAGTTTGTCGTACATCACTTCAGAATAGTTCGAACTTAATTTACGACTAAGATCGACATTTTCTCGTCAAAGAAATAAATAAGAAAAAATTGGTATGAAAATTGATTATCTTCTTATGATTTATTGAGTAGTTTATATAGACCCGTACGTAAAAAAAAGAAAACGGTGAATGAATAGTTGCCACACTGAACGCGATAAATTTTGGATACTCTGTCGAGTTTTCGTCGGTGAAGTTACAGACTTGTGTATCCATGCAAGTACGTATTCAGTGAATGTACTTTTACGTTTACCCCAAACAGTACCTGCATCAGTAAAATTACTGAAAACTTTCAAAGTACCCATTGTAATCATATTTAGGGTATACATATCCATAGAGTAAACCGATTTCTCTATAATGTCTGTTTACCAAAGATATACAGACTTTTAAAATGTTCTAACATAATTTTTGTAAGACTAATTGAAAGATAATGATTTGTTAAACTACCATTGAATCGATACATCTTAACTCAAAGTCGTTATTAAGTATCCAAAGAAAATTCATATTTGACAAATAAATTACTGTTTTTATTCTTTCTCATGTAAGTTTTTACAATAAAACTTTGTATTTTGTCTTTTTTTTTGTTCAAACGATATAAAAGAAATATAAATAAGCCGAAGTTTCCTCGAGTTTACCGTATTGAATTCAATTTTTTATCAAAATATTCGATTAGGAACTCTACGTGTTTTTGAAAATCTCAACTCAACGGAGCTTTTCTTAATTTAAAGTCTTGTAAGACACTGATGGCAGTTTGTTTTTCTGAACGTCGTGTTCTTATTAAATCCTTCACTGCAGTGGAGATTTCAAGTCTTTAGTGCTATCGTTGATACACCAAACAATTATGGGATATGAAAAATTTTACAGAAGGATAAATTTGATTTCTCAAGCTATAAATTAATAAAAAGACTAACATCGAACTGATTTATTTTATCAATTAATAGAAATAAATGTTTTTTTTTCTCATAATTTTTATTGTTTTCAATCTATTTTTACAGCAAAATAAGTCTCTCTTGTACGTCATAGGATTTTAATTTCGATGATCAACTTCTATTTTATGGAAGAAAGAATCTTTTATACTTGTTTCTTTTTATATCAGCATATCGTCAATGGAGTAATCGGATCGACTTATCTCACAAGATTTGTATAACATGTATATTGTTTTGGGTGTTATTTTTTGCTCACCGACTTATTTTATATAGTGTTACAAATGGAAAATGTATTCCTCTACCTGGTTTTTATACATATTTTGATAGTTACACTGAAGTAATATTTACAGCTATGTTTATACCATTAGTGGTGATTGTACTTGCTGTTTTATTATTACGAAGTATTCGAGGTATTACTCAAAGGCAAGTCGCTCCTACGAATACTTTATCACGAACAGAAACTGTGAAAGGATCAGATCTTCAGCGAATGGATTCTCGATTAACATTTATGATCCTTTTACAACTAATTATTGCAATAACAACCCGCGTACCATATGCAGTCCAAGTTATTTATACAAATATTACTCAAAGCTGGCCAAAGTCAGCTTTACGAATTGCTATAGAAAATGTCGTGTCTGAGTTTATTCTTTTATTATCATACACATTTTTTGTTTCTAGCTTTTATGTATCATTAATTACGAATCGTGGCTTTCGTCGCAGATTTATAAATTTCTTTCGCAAACTATTGACTGCTTTATATAGAAGAGAAATTAATTAAACTGTAATCAAAAAATATATCTTACGAAATAAATCTATCTTAAAACATAAAATTAATGAAATATGGGAACCGAAGAGTTGAGCACGAAAAAATGAATGTCAACAAATATATGACAATAATAATCAGAGTAATCTAAATGTATTGAAATAAAATCAAACACGAAAATATATGATAATAAGACCAAACATAAAAGTATAAACATGAAAGATATTAATTTACTTAAATTTATTCAAATTAGTAACACTTAATGAATAGAGAATAAAAAAATCAATCACTAGTACAAAATAATGACGGAACACTTGTCTTCTCACATCGACAATTTTTCTACATAGCAGCTCTTTCTAATAACCGATCAACAATAGAAAAATCACGTTTAGATCTCGGTGTTTATTCATATATAAAAGATAGGATCACTATTCCAATGTGCTCATCCAACATTGTAATTGTTCATTCAAAAATTAATCGACGAATAAAATGCTACACATGCTGATATTGTAGAAATACGAGTAGGACTAATTCCAAAAATCAAGAAAAATAGTGAACATTTCGAAAAATGATTATTAAATATTACCTCAAATCCTCATCAAGATATTTTAACTCAAATTAATTCATTAGCACATAATATTTCATTCTAATTCATTGTTTATCATTACTTCATGATAAAAGTAAAAAAAAATTTAATACTTCGCTAATAAACTTATCTATATCCTAATATTCATTTTCTCGTGCTCAACGTTCACCCATCCAGTCTGACAATAGTCCACTACATTTACGATTTTTTCTTCGAAAATACTTTAAGAAAATTTGGCTTCATATATATATGTTAGCGTCCAATGTGGAATTACGCCCAATCTGGAATTCCACATTGGACGGAGAGTTAATCAGGCCAATGTCGGATTGAAGAATCAGAATACGTCCAATCTGAGATTCGCCTGGAAATAGTAGGGCAATCTCGGATTCACCTAGGCCAATCTCAAATGAGAAATTAAATGTGCTATATTCAGTATGGAGGCATCATTTTGTCCATGTAATTTATCAAATAAAAACTGGAGTGGGAGAAATTAAATAGACTAAAGTTATTGTTTATGCTGGAAAAGAGAATTCATACATTGTTCATATTCTCTTTTGTTCAACTTTATACATTATAATTAATTAAAACTTGGTGTCTGAGTCATAATAATGAACATCAATACATTAAGAAATATAATTGTTGATGAACAAGCTACGATTGTAAACAATACTGAAATGTAGTTTTTGATGGTGGTGAAGGCGACCAGATTTTGAACGAAGAAAAAACATTTTATTCTAAATTAAACATGTATAAAGAAAGTTTAAAGTATCCTGAAAAAGTAATGTTATCATTTGATTATTATCAAAAAATAATTCGTTGTTTAAAACAACCTAAAAGTGGTAAAACAATTGGTATTGATGCTAAATTTTATTTTTGGTGCAAGAAACATTTTAAAATTGATATCACTTCAGGAATTGAGATTTTATGTTCAACGAAGAATGGCCGTCGAATTGTTGTTATTGAATCATATTTTGCTATTTTAAATGATATTCATAAAAAAAACTGGACATGGCGCTCGTGATAAAATGCGTCACGAGATGAACGAACATTATTATTGGATCCCGGCTCAAGTTATTGATATATTTTTATAGTGTTGTACATCTTGTATAGTTAGAAAGTCTATTAAGCTACCTGTTACGCCGACAGCTATTATATCAGTCGGTTTCTTAACCCGTCTTCAAATTGATCTCATAGATTTTCGTACACGACCAGATAAAGAATTTCAATGGATTCTTCATTGTCGTGATCATTACTCAAAATGTTCGTGGGGTTATCCATTAGTATCAAAGGAAGCTCAACGTGTTGCTGATCATCTTTCAACATTATTTTATCAATTTGGACCTTGCAAAATTTTACAATCGGACAATGGCCGTGAGTTCACGGCCAGCGTCATTAAAAATCTTAAAAACGTTTGGCCTGGATTGGTCATAATAAATGGAAGACCTCGACACCCCGAGAACCAGGGGCTAGTCGAGAGAGGAAATTCAACTTTATGCCAAATATTGGGTAAATTTATGGAGGACCGAAATACAACATCCTGGACAACTTGGCTTCTCCCCGCAATATACTCTATGAACACAAGCTTGACTCGTGGTGTAAATATGACCCCATACGAAATCGTTTTTGGACAAAAACCTAGAGTCGATTATAAATTATGGAAATTACTGGACGATCAAAGTAAATAATATTTCTTTACTTTTAAAAATAAATGAGAATTATTTTGCATCTGTAGATATTACACTTGAAGAAGATTTATCATCTTCTATTCGTCAGCGTCTTGCTGAGGACGATACATCCGAATCATTATCTTCGAATTCAACAAGTCCTGATAATGCTGATCAACATGAAACTCTTTCTTCTATTGTTACAACTAACTGTATACAAAATTCAGTTCGCCTACCAATATCTAATGCAACATCAGATTCAGCTGAACTACCACAAGCAGCTCAACCAACACGAGAACCTGAACCAGTACAAGCAGCTGATACATTGAATAATAATAATATTGAAACACAACAAGTTGATTAAGACACTAATTATGACATAGCCTCAAGCAGTTCTCGACATTCAGAGATTCGAACACGAGCAACAAAAACATATTTGTCCAATGCCAGTAAGAAAATAAAAATTCATGATGAATTTATAAAAGATTTATCTTGCAAATGTTTAATTGGTGATTATGTCGGTATTAAAATCAATAAAGTTGATCGAACAAACATCGACCCAAAAATTTTACCTGCAGTTGTATTAGAAAAAAATGATGATAAAATCAAAGTTGAATGTGAATTTGGCATTATTAAACAGTGGTGATCTTTGGATTCCATTGCATTATTATCTGATGTACCTGAAAATTTAGTTGATTTACAAATAACTGAATTAAAAGAAATATCGTTTATTACCGCTTCAAAATTATATGTTCGTGGTGGCATTGATGGAGTTACTTGTTCATGTAAAGGTGGTTGTAAGACAAAGCAATGTCCTTGTCGAAAAAAAAAATTATCTTGTTCGACAAAATGCCACAAAAATGGTGTTTATTATGTAAATTTAGGATTAGATGATAAAATATGAAAATGTATTAATAGTTTCTTCCAAACTCATGGATAACTTTTTCTATTATTTAGTTACAACTAAACATTGTTTTCGTTCAAAATATACTTTCATTCACTATAATTCGTATTTTTTATTATAGTATACTTAATTTCTCATGTGAGATTGGCCGTATGCTATTTTCGATTCTACATTCGCCTAGGTCAATCTTAGATTCGCCTACTATTTCCAGGCGAATCTCAGATTGGACGTATTCTGATTCTTCAACCCGACATTGGACTAGGCCAAGCTTAGATTGGACGTAATTCCACATTGGACGCTAACATATACGAATACAAGACAGTATAAATTAAGATTCGACAACTGAATCATTTTCATAGATCAGCTTTATATTGACGTATGTGTTGTTTTTCAGTAGGTAGCAAAGGATACACAGGTCAAACCCTTGTATCTATATTTGATTGAAGAGTTTCTTTTCTTAATTAAAGTCCTCAACCATTCAGAATATACTGCCAGAATTGAAATTCTTCAAAAATTATCTTTCCTCAGTTTCTTCCATTGAACTAATACTTTATTTCATAAGAAAAGTCGTCAACCAAATAGAGATATAGAGATCGACGTATGGATTGTTTACCATCTATCGTAGAACAAACGAGTTGTTCTAGAGATAGTTTCTCTTTGGATATAATTCGATTTTCACAATCTGTCTCGTATTTTCTTTGATTCGTGAATGTAGATTTCATTTTTTTCTAAAAACTTCTAGAGAACTGTATTTGAATTTTGTATAAGAATTTTTCGAAGTAAATAATAGCTTTTTACTATTATTAACTATTCTGCCTTCCATTCAAATAATCATGTTAAATTTGCATTGCGATAACTACAGAGAATAAATATATCAATGGCAAATTTAGTCTGCCAAAAGAAGCTGTTTTATATGTACATACACTTGATATTAAATCATATAAAAAAACTATATTCATTAAAGCTTATGGGTATGCTATTTTTTAATTTTTCTTCTCACTTCGTTATTTTGTGTCTTTCTCACATCTGTATTTGTATCATTAAGATATTTTCAAGTAAGCGGAAAAAGAAACTATCTATGTAATAAATATTTGAAAATAATTAGCCCTTCTACAAAGTCTATTTACCAACTTTTTTTTGTGGAAGATGGCAAATTCAGTGTGTATTGGGAAAGGTTATATACAGTTAGAAGTTAGATTCAAAAAGATGAAGAACTTCTCTTTAGAAATATGAATATTCAGAGATAATCGATCCGATGAAGAAATGCTATTATTTTGAAATAAATCTTCATAAAGATGTCTAAATACATAAACCTTCGAACGCATTAGAGTGTTATAAGAAAATCTTCCTCTTTCTTACTATTCTAGAAGACCAGAAATGAAGCTTTCGTTTCTACTTTTTTTTAAATTTTATCGTAGGAAACATATTTTTAATCAAATTACATTGTTAAATGATAAAAATCCTTCTGCAGATTTACTCCCTGATTTTAGTGCTCTTCCAATTCTATCATCCATAGTAAAACAATATCACTTATTCTTTTATTTCTCTAATTTTTTTTTTTAAGTAAGTGATTCATTTATATTAGTTTTAAAAATAAATTGGCATTTGTCTCTACTTTTTAAAAATAAAGGATGCTTCTATCTTTGGTTTTTAGGAGGAAAAGGATTCATTTACCTTTATTTTATGATGTAAAAGTAAAATACCGCCCCTACTTAAAACGGACCGAAAAATCCAGTAAGATGGGCATAACTCAGGTTCAAAGGCACAATGACACGAATCTTTTTAAACTTTTTCTAGTCTTACTGAGATCTTCTTGTGGACAAAATATGAGCTCAAACGGTGCATATCACTTGAGAATGTTCTATCTGGAGTAATTTAATCTATAATGATTTTTGACTTATCCTTAACCAATAATTAGATAAATTGTTTGAGTAACCCTAATAATACTTCATTAGTAGGCAGATTACAGACAGAAAAAAATCGAATGTTTCACTTATCTATGGAAATGTTCTTTTTAATATCATTATACTTCTACGTGGAATATTATATTTACGAGTTTTGATAATCAATGATAGGTCAAAACAATATTCATGGATGGTTTTCGTATGAATAAAAACTTTGAAGACTTGTTTACCATCCACAAAAAAACTAAGCCCTATTTATACGAGAGAAGGGAGAAATATTCAATTTTTGTATTATAAATATCTTTATGATACACCCTGTATATAAAAGAAATATTGCTTTTTATATTTTTAAAATATCATTCATTCAGTGCACACGGTAAATCTGCAGGTTGTGATAGATATGCTGTTTTAATAGAATGAAAATGAGAAGACGATCTTCTTTTTCTAGATTTGGATTTGTCTCTTCCTACACTCCCACCCTCATATGACAATATGTACTAATTGGCTATTGCTTGGGGAAGTATATGGATAATTGTCAGTACAAATTGTATTTGTGCTCGCACATCTCCATAATCATGATGTGACAATCTATTGAATCTAGTATAAAATATTGACATAAACTTTTATCTAACTTATGCGAGAGAGATGGAGCACATGACATTTTATGCTACCTTTGAAAAAGATAAGAGCAATGCATTGGCAAAATACAACGCAGTGTGTGTGATGTTATCTCACTCAATAATATTGCTATTTGCAAAAAAAACGTAAACTATGAGTGCATCTCTATATACAGTTTGATTTTTTGACACTATTCACACTTCGGCGTATCGATATAATGAGTTCCCCATTATAGATTCTCATCGTCGAACTTTCGTTACAGGTACAAATACTTGAGATTAAATAGTGGCTCATTTAAAGACCATCTATCTGACATTTAGACAAGAGAAGGCGGTTGTGCGTACTCGACTTCTGGTGTCCTTACGTATGATTTCATCACTATGATCTTCAGACTAACTCTTGAAGACTTTAATGAAATAAGCATGCATAAGAATGTGAAAAATGTGGACGATCGTGACTGTATAGAGCTTATATTTCCCTATCTGCATTCTGAATCCATGATACAAAGATATTATGCTGCCACATGGTTAAGCCATCTCGCTTCTATCCATGTTGTATTGTCTGCAGAAGTTCAAGTTTGGCTTGGAAACATCTTAGAAGACTCATCTTCTCAACAGTTCTTATATATTGAGGGCGATAAATCAAGAAAATCATTGTATAGTAACATTCAGTATATTTTACTCGGAATGACATGTTTTGATGCATTTTCTGGAGTGAAAGAAGTTCTTGCGGTCGACGAAATCGAAGCAAATTTTCTTGCAGCGTTGGAAGTCTCCTAGTGTAAATTAAGCGGATGACATTTTCGCTCCTCCTAGCTTCACTTCTGCCACTTTACTAAAGAAGAGCTCTTTCATTGATTTTCCTTTTTTTTCTTTCTTGTTCTTTCCTTGTAATCAAAGTATCTCTACCGCTATTTAAACTGCCGTTCTTTGTTCCTTTTTTGTGTGTTGGTACAAAAGCAATAGAGAAACTGAACATGGTTTTTTCATATATCAAAATTAAAGGACAGGTGTGGTTATGGGGTGCTGCACGAATGTTCCAGTTTTCTTCACTGACTAACAACATCCACAAACATCCACATCACACACACATCCTTAAAGAGTGTGGGTGTGAGTGTGGGTGTGGGGTGTGGATGTGGTACAAGAAAGACGAACACCCACACCCAATTGCGTGTTTGACTTCGACTTAGGCTTTACCTTAGAAATTTATTTGTCGATATTAGTTCTTAGGAGATCTAAAATGCATAATATTTTGATAAATTCAATAAAGAATTTACACATTTTCTGATATTTTATAAGACATGTTATTAAAGTACTTAGGGGTATCCAAAAGTAGTGTCGCCATTACCAAATTCCCTTATAGAAAGGGTGAAAAAATTTTCTTTCTGTTGCAAAAGATAGAGCATCTTTTGCTCTATTTTTCTATGCTATTTGGTCATACCTTAACTAATGTCATGATAATAAATTTTTGACAAGACTTTTTTCGTTAACATGTTTGCTGGTGGTACTAGCTCACAATGAGTCAGACGGATTAGTTTTTTAGTCCACTAATACATTGTATTAACAAACAAAATATGCCATAAGATGCACCGTGAAAAGCTCTACAATTTCCATAAGAGCACTTATTTTCTAGTTGCACGTTTTGTTTTCAAAATGGACAAAGTTTTGAGTGATCGAACTTTGGCGGTTGTAAAAAGTGATCGTATAGAATTTTCCTTTTTTTCAAAACAATTACAATAAACTTTACTATGTAGATTGTAGAGCTTTTCGCGCTGCATCTTCTGGTGTATTTTGTTTTTCTTTTAATAAAGCATATAAGGTGATAAGATGATTAGATTACAAAAAATGAATTCGTCGTGTATCAAAAACATGATCCTTTTCCATGGCCGAAATTTGATCGCTCAAAATTTAGTCTATTTTAAGAACAAAAAGTGCAACTAGAAAATAAGTGCTCTTATGGAAATTGTAGAGCTTTTCACGCTGCATCTTATGGCATATTTTGGTTGTTAATACAAATAATAAGGAATTGAAAACTACAACATACAACTTACCACCGGCAAACATGTTAACGAAAAAAGTCTTGTCAAAAATTTATTATCATGACATTAGTTAAGGTATGATCAAATAGCATAGAAAAATAGAGCGAAAGATGCTCTATCTTTTGCAAAAGAAAGAAAATTTTTTCACCCTTTCTATAAGGGAATTTGGTAATGGCGACACTACTTTTGGATACCCCTAAGTATAATGAGCATGTGTGGCTTTGTAGTTTTCAAGATACAGTGGTATACATTGTTAATATGTGATCATAAATACAATATCGATAAAGTTTTATTTTAAAATGTGAGAATATTTTTTTATTAAATGTCTGATCGATTAAATAGAAAAAGCAACAATAAATAAATGTTTTCTAAAGTTGATTACATAAATTAATTACTTATATTTGTATCATTATCAATATCTATATTATACAATTTTTATTAAGAATCTAATTTAGATAGTTCTAATTTATCTTAATATTTATTAAGATTAATAGAATATTTTATTCTAATCTTTGATAATGATTTCATTAATTTTTCTCTCTTCCATTACATTCCGATTGTTTTTTGTGGATTTCATGTTCGGTTTATTTTTTTTTTTTTTAAATAAATTTTCAAATTCTTCGTTCACAATTTCAATCAAAATATTTTAATTGTAAATCGAAATTCCATTAACTATTTAGAGTGAGAGAAATTTTCCATGATTATATCCATTTATATACTCTGTAGTTTCCAACGAAGTTTAGTTGTATCCTATCCGTTTTTATTTCACACTAGACCTCTTCAAATATGATATGTCAACCAACAATATAAAATAAAATTCGTTATACAGAAAAAAAAGAATGCAATAAATATTATTCTTCAATAAAGTTAAACATCTTAGAAAAATCTCTTGATATATATATATATAATAGAAAAATGAAAAAAATATTCTGAATTACATATGTTATTTAAATGCAGACGTTTGTATTTTCTATGTACAAATATTACAAAATAAAATGAAAAAAGTTCTTATAAAAAATCTTTATTATAATTTCTATTTCAAAAATATTTTATCACCTATGCGTTGAATTTTATGGTCACAAAAAACTTCTTTATGATGAGAGAGTTTTGACGAATTGATGATTAAATTTAATCTTTCAATAGTTTTTTCGTGTGCATTAGATACACATAGATATAAGCAACAAAGATAAAGATTATTATCATTATTTCTCAATGAAATACTTTTTAAAATATCTTCTAAATTATTTTCTGTTCTATCTTCAATTTTGAGATATTTCATTTGAGGACAAAGATCCATAATAAAATGAAGTTGTTTTATTTCAACAATTTTATTAAATCTAACTTTTAAAATTTTGTTACTCATCGATACTAAATTCAATGATCTTTTATCTTTGATATCCCAACCGTCTAAATTTATTAATGATAATGAAGATATTTCCAATGATTCAAGATTAAGCATTAGACCTATAAGTTTGATCAACATGCCGACTGAAATGTTATTACAATCAATTTTTAAATGAGTAAATTTTATGGCTAATAAAAAGGACTTCATGGGATTCATATCTGGTGAATAAAAACGAATAAAGGAGCCGTTTTCAATAGTCAATTGAATGGATGCATCGTTATTCTCTTTTTGATTAGAATTTTTATCTGAATATAAAACAACTTTTTTATAATCAAATAATCATACCATGTTTTTCTCGAGAAAAATTAAGAAGAAATAGAAGTTATCTAAAGAGATTTTTCTTTATATACCTATACGGATATATTGAAAAGAACAAATAAAAATCTTCATGTTTCCACTCAAAGAACCACTGCCGTTTAGTCAGAAATACTGATGTGAATTCTTTAATTACTTCAAAGTAAGAATGAATATTTTTCGAGTACACGTTCACAACATAATTAAAATAAAATTTGCATAAATGAGGCATATAATTTTCTATTAGTTGTATCTATCGATTAGCATTAAGATAATTTGTAATATAATATGTATTTAAATGCCATACTTCTAATTTAAAACAAATTCTTTTCACAAAATTTTCTAATGCATCAAATTCACTCTGGCAAAAACCAAAATAAACATTTTTCAAGTGAAGTTATGTTAATTCGATATTGTCTTGGATAATTGTATTCGTGGAATTCAATCTTTGACAAGTTAAATGTCGAAGAAGAGATGTATAATAAAGTATAATAGTAAGTTCATCAGTAGTACACATATGATTAAGAACTAAATGCTCAAAATTACTCAACTTTTCATTGGTAGATATTCGTGTGACGATCTTTCTTACAAGAGACCTCCCCGAAAATGAGACTTTATGATATTTTAATGAAAGTGAACAAAAACATTTTCTGTATGTATCACTAATCTTGTTGTCAGTTTTCTATTTCAATTGAATAATCAATGAGAAAAGACAAGGTAGAGAATTGAAACAAGAAAGAATCATTAGAAGAAGTTTTTCATCTAATATTTTAGTAAGAATAACGGATTCAAGTCGATTAAATGATGAATCAACATCATAATCAATAAAAAATTGCTCTAAGAATACATCATCGTTGAAACGAAGTGAAACAATACGATGTTTATTTGGAATAATAAAATTTCGACAATATTTTGCAGGTCTACCTGCTTTCGATCCGAATCGGCCCTCTTGCATTTCGGTCCATTTTAATTGATTCTCATTTCGATCCTTTTTCTGTTTCGTCAAAATACATTCAATTATAAAATACATAAATGAGCATGTTTTTATGGGTACTATTTTAATAAAAAGCAACGGTCACGATAGTCTATCTTTTAGTTGTTCAAAGATGAAGTAATTATAAAATTTCATAAAACATATGAACCACTTACTGAATGTTATTGCTATTACAATGTTACTAGGATGCTGGATTTTTCAAAAAAGAATTTCTTGCTTCCTTTTTCAATTTCTTATGAAGTACATGATACGTATTCATTTAAATTTTGAGATGTCTGTCTATCGAGCTGTACTATTTCCATCTTATTCTTTCATCCATGTTTTTTTAAATTTTTTGTATCATTTAAAAGAGAAATTGAAGAGCAAACTACAAGTAGACACATCTTTCTTCTGCGTGATCCACGTGTATATCGGGAAAAAAAATTAACGAGAGAAAGTAGACCGTAGAAAGAGCACAAGTATTGACACAGCAAAATGTGCTTTGCGTTCTTTAATGTAATGCTTTCTATTTGGTCTTCTCTCGCCGTAACTGAAACACTTCGTTAGAAGAAAGAGAACGAAATAAGCAATAGTTGTGTCTTTTTCTTTGGCCTTTACTGCATTACAATGTGCCTCCTTGTTGGTTTTATAATTATTCTCTATATATCATATTGTTTATATCAATACTTCTTTCCAACACCAAATATTAATTATAATGGTAAATATGTTCTTATTAGTGGTTGTGACACCGGCTTTGGTCATGGATTAGCTGTTGAGCTTGATAAACAAGGTTTTAATGTTCTTGCTGGTGTTTATGTTTCTGATAATGTTACATTACTTAAAAACAAACTTTCATCAAAAGCGACCGTTTTTCATCTAGATATAACTAAACAAGAAGATATTGATGCTGCTTTTGAATTAGTCAACAATAAAACAAAAGTTCTTCATTCACTTGTTAATAATGCTGGAATAGCTATTGTTGGCTATATTGATTGGACATCAATGGGAGACATGCGTAGAGTGATGGATGTGAATTTTTTCGGACATGTTGCAATGACAAAGAAATTTTTACCATTACTTATCGCTAAGCGTGATTCACGTGTTATTAATATTTGTTCTGCAGCTGGATATCTCACATCAGCAAGTATGTCTGCTTATTGTGCTTCAAAATATGCTCTGGAATCATTTTCTGATTGTCTTCGTCGTGAAATGGTTCCATGGAGTTTACGAGTTAGTATTATTGAACCAGGATTTATGCGAACACCTATTCTCCAATTCGGTGCTAAATCATTCGCAAAATTTTGGAGTCAAATTTCAAGTGATGTTAAGGAACGATGGGGTGAAGTTTATCTGAAAGCAAACTGTGATGAAGTACAGAAGAGTGACCTCGTCAAATATGCTGAAGATCCGATGAAAGTTGTACGAGCTCTTCAACATGCTGTTATGAATACAGCTCCGCACATTCGATATCGACCTGGTTGGCAATCAGGTCTTGTTTTCTTTCCTCTCTCTAGATTGCCTGCTGGGTTTGTTGATTGGATTCTTAGTAAATTGATTAAAGCAGTTGATGTTCCTGCAGGCGTCTCCAAACAGCACGCCGATTAAAATGTTGATGTCTTTTTCAATTTGAATATTTCTTCTTTTAGCAAAAATGAAAGGAATGCATTCGCTTTTTACTTAATAAAATAATTCTTACAAGAAAACATAATGCATTTAAAGAACGTAGATGGAAACAATGATTGTGATGGTCTAGATTCTCACTAGTAGAAAATGTTCAATCTATTGCATCAACAGATGATGGAGACGTTCAAGCTTTCAGTAGAGTAGGGGAATTTTTGGGGTCACGTATATATAAATATGGTGTATGTATCTTGACTTTTGAAAATGATGAACACACACAAAAAAAGAAACACGGTGTTGCTATTGATGAAAAATCCATCATTAATCATTGATTTGTCATCAAGTTAGTTGATATGATGAAAGGATCCTATCTATCAAATGAGTATTTTGATTCAACGTATCTCAGGTCAAACACATCCTGCAGGAAACGATGGTATCCTGTGTATTTCCGGTGATTTCCTGGAAGCAGTATTCCACAATCGGTTCCGGCTACCGGTTTCCGGACATTTCCTGGCGATTCCCATGCTCGGAAAAGGTCTTTGGATCCGGTCGCCGTTTCCGTTTCGTTTCCTCGCTACGTTTCCGGTGTAATACCAGGTAACCAGGATCCGAGGTATCTGCCTCTCGTATCCGGTACGGTTCCCGTCTAAGGTTCCGGCATAGTATCTTGAAGACGGGATCCGGGTTATTTTCCGCTTGTTTCCGATTCAGCGGCAAAGATCATATCCACGTAGATCTTTAGCTTGGATTTAGAAATTGGATACGGCAAGACACATCATAGATGTTATTCTTTCTTTTTTCTCTTGTACCGATGATTTTCACCCGAATAATTAGTTTCTCTTTTGCGAAAGTTCATGAATCAAAAAATTAAGAAAATTAAGAATGAGAACAGTTCGCAACAAAGAATCGAAGCTCTAAATAAATAAGAAATCTTTCGATCATATTCAATGCAGTTATTACTCTATATAATTTTATGGTCTATATATTAATTATTTTGTTTTTATTCGATGTGCAATATGAGGATTTGTCAGTTCTACCAGATAACTTCGATCATTTGTTGATTTATTGATATCAATTGCTTTTCGATACATAACGAACTGAAACTGGAATACTAGCTTAGAATAAGAAGAAATTCCTCTCAATATGTTGGATGCAAGAGATTTCTCAAAATTTTATACTCGAAATCTGATGAATTTTTATTTATTTTTGGCTCCACATTTTACTAGGAACAGGATTAGAATGATAAGCAGCATATTATGGAGCAGAGGCGGCGGAGCGATTTCAATCTAGGGTAGGCTCAACTTTTCAGTATAACCACCTCTCGATAGCGGATTGAAAAGCGATTTTTATTTGTTTATAATAAAAACTACTATAGATTTTCGT